CTTTTTTGTGTGTATCTGTAGATCTATTTGAAAATTAAAAAGGAACATATATAGTGATCATATAAAATATATAATCAGATTTTTAGAGTAAAGCATTTTGGTTATCTGGTATTATAAATTCAGTTTTCCATTCGAGTTCCTAACTATCGGACAAAGATCGATGCAATTTCGAATTTTCTTACCACCGTTCTGTTTTGTATTTCAGATTCTTGTACAAACACATTGATCGAAGACTGTTTCATCGTCTCGGGCGACGATTGTATCGCCGTCAAGAGCGGTATAGATCAATACGGCATCAAAGTGGGTATACCTACGCATAAACTCTCGATCCGAAGACTCACATGCATCTCCCCGAAGAGCGCGGGGGTCGCACTCGGCAGCGAAATGTCCGGAGGGATCAAAGATGTACGGATAGAGGACGTGACACTTATCAACACAGAATCTGCAATCAGAATCAAGACCGCCATTGGACGTGGAGCTTACGTGAAAGATATATACGCGCAGAGGATCACGATGAAGACGATGAAATACGTTTTCTGGATGAATGGCGATTACAATGCACACCCCGACGATCACTGGGACCGGAATGCGTTTCCGAATGTAACGAACATTAACTACCGAGACATGACGGCCGAGAACGTGACCATGTCGGGAAGTCTCGACGGGATCAAGAAGGATCCGTTCACGGGGATATGTATCTCGAACGTGAACATAACGTTGGCTCCAAGGGCGAAGAAGGTGCAGTGGAACTGTACGAATGTCGCCGGAGTTACTAGCAGGGTCTCGCCGCCGGCTTGTAGCTCGTTGCCGGAAAAAGGGTCTCCGATGGACTGTGACTTTCCGACAGACAAGATTCCGATGGAGGGTGTTGTGATGAAGAAGTGCTTTGTTTAGAACATCAAATGTTTTTAGAAATGTAACTCATCGTAGTCGTCTTTGGACCGGAAAAAAAAAATCCCGAAGATATTTTTCGTTTTAATAATACACCGAATAAATTTAGAAATGTAATAATATCGATATAATATATATCTGTTTTATTAGAATCTATATTAGTTTACAGCGTTAGAGTAGCTCATATTTATTCCAGGAACTCCTTAAACCAAAAGTCCAAGTCCACTGTTTCGGATAATTGTTTAAGCGAGGAGATGTCCTATGTTTTTTCATATAAAATTATTATTAGGGTAAACATATAAAAATTCCTAAACTTGTAAAATAGTACAAAACTAATTTTAATTTTTTTCATTCGATAAATTTATTCACAAACTTGTAAAATATATCATTAGAATTTACAAATTTACAAAATGTATCATATAATTTCCAAACTGATTTATGGATCAATATCATCGATATTTGTTCTGATACTAGTTAACAAATTTGAAAATTATAATAATATATTTTGCAAGTTTGAGAATAAATTTGTTAAGCGAAAAATTTTAAAATTAGTTTTCCAACATTTTGGAAGTTTATAAATTTTTATGAGTTTTATCCAAATAATAATAATAATATATTATTATTATTATTATTATTTATTTTAATATAATATATTTATGATATAATAATTTAATAAAAATGATGATGTTTCTAGCCGTGTTTATTAAGTTTTTATATTATATTTGGATTTTAAATGGATGTTTTAGAAATATTTGAACTTTTTATGGATATTTTGTAAAAGATTTACGAGATATATATATATAATTCAGAGTTTAAATAAATCGTTTTGAAAAATTTAGGGTTTTTTAGATTTTTTTCATCATCATTATCCGAAGTGAATGAATAACGCAAATATAGTAAAATATATGCGTCTAAATCTACATTTAGTAAAAATATTGCAAGTTTTCCACAAAAACAAAAGAATATAATAGCACAACAAATAAATTTAGGTTCCTAGTTTTGGATTTTTTTTTTACCCAAAAAGGAGGATATTAATGAATAGAATAATATTTGCAACCATTTTTGTATTCAGAAATTACTTAACATTATGAAGATTTCACTATTTTAATTCCAATTTAAGTATCCATTGTATGTCTTTCTTTCTCTATAAATTAGTCTCTCTGTCTTTTATCGCTCTCAGTTATCATTCAAAGGAGAGGAAATCCATCAGTGAGTGTTCAAGGTAAAGAACATGGCTCTTTAGTAAATTGTTTTTTTATATATATATAAGTTAATATATTGTTTTTCTTCTTTTATATAAAATATACTTCTTTTTTCATTTTTTAAAAACTTTTAATCCGTTTATCTAGGCTCGAACAGATGAAAATTTGGCGAATTTCATATGAATATAGAAAGACTCCGATTGATAGAATTGTAATAGAAACGAATATATATTCCATGTTATAGTTATTTTTCTTAGTTTCGCTATTTCGTATTTTGATTTTTTTTCAAGTTTATAAAATAAATAAATATTCATTTTAACATGGTTTTTTGTTTGGTTGTAAATTTTGTTCGGATTTAGTTTTTTATAGTGAAAAACTTTGTTTTTTAAAGAAATTTTTAATGTTTTCGTTCTTTTGTTATATATTCATTACTCAATTTGAGTTCGATTAATTAGATATCATATATATATATATATATATATATATATATATATATAAGATTAAAATAAGAGGTGTTTCAGATTAATATGATTTTGCATAACCAAAGCCAAACGGAGTTTGCACAGATAAACTAATGTGTCAACAAAAATATAATAAACAGAAAGGTGACATATGTTTACATGATATTCTTTAAGGAACTTAGCTCGACATATTCAGATATTTGATTCGGTAAACCTTATTGTATATGAAAAAAATATATGTTTACATATATATATATATATGCAAGGATATGTTTGACATTTGATGTAAAATGAAGGAGATTTATAAAATTGGAATTTTCTTGTAGATGATGAAGATGATACTATTTGGAATACTAGTTGTTTTGGCTGCGTCTGATTTTCCGACAACGGAATCTCGGAATCCGAGCGGTTTGGCCAAAGCTGGGATCGAATACTCGGCTTTGAACTGCCGGAAATATAGCGCCGTTATAACGGAGTTTGGGGCGGTCGGAGATGGGAAGACTTCCAATACCAAAGCATTCAGAGAGGCAATAGAAAAGCTCGGTCAGAGATCGGCGGCCGACGGAGGAGGAGCTCAGCTCGTTGTTCCGCCGGGGAAATGGCTCACCGGTAGTTTCAACCTCACCAGTCATTTCACTTTGTTCATCCAACAAGGCGCTACCCTCCTCGCTTCTCAGGTGCATACGTAAACTATACCGAACCGAACATAATTAAATTTAATCGAACCGATGTGTTTTTAGAGATTAATATTCAAGAATATATTTGGATGAATCAAGAAATTTAGTTTTAATAATGGTTGTAAACTCTAGAATTACGTCAATCTGATTTATTTTGATCGAACTTACAACGATATGAATATCATAGAAGAATTACCGCGTGGATTAAAAAGGCGTCTAAACCGGTTGACATCTATAACGCCTTTTCGTATAGTGCTCCAGTTCGGTTTGGTTAACGGTTTAACCGGAGATACGATTTCAATTTGGATAAACCAGGACGAATCCGAATGGCCCATAGTAGCACCTTTGCCATCGTACGGAAGAGGAAGAGACACTCCCGGACCAAGATTCGGTAGTTTAATCTCCGGTTCAAACTTAACCGATGTGGTTATCACCGGTATGACCATTCTCTCTACCGAACATAACTTGTTGGTTTACTGGTCACATAATTGGTTATTATTGATATCAAATCAAACCGGATAACGAGCAGGTAACAATGGAACAATCGATGGACAAGGCCAGTACTGGTGGAAGAAGTTCAAACAGGGTGAGATGAAGGAGACGAGACCGTACTTGATCGAGCTTATGTCCTCCGAAGACATTCAGATCTCGGATATTACATTGATCAATGCTCCGACATGGAACATCCATCCCGTCTACTGCAAGAACGTTATCGTCAAAGGCGTCACAGTCCTCGCCCCCGTCGATTCTCCCAACACCGATGGAATCAATCCCGGTACGTACCTTTGTACGATTTCTCGTCTTACTTGTCCATAAGATTTTGTAACTCAATCATTTATATGATAAGATCATCAAAGGTTTTGACGTTTTTGTCGAATTCTCTGCCTGTAATTATAAAATACGAAAATACCCTTATATTCAAACCCTAATGCGATCATAACATTAACGTTTTTTGGTTAATCCTATCTTGGGTCCAGATTCTTGCACAAACACATTGATTGAAGACTGCTACGTTGTCTCGGGCGACGACTGCATCGCGGTGAAGAGTCGACAGTT